GCATGATGCAATTTGGGTGATAGTGGATAGATTAACTAAGACTGCACATTTTCTGCCAGTGAACATGAAATATCCTTTGGAGAAACTTGCTAAAATTTATATGGATGAGGTAGTAAGATTACATGGGGTACCAGTGAGTATTGTATCGGATAGAGACCCCAGGTTTGTATCTCGATTTTGGCAGAAGTTACAAGAGGCTCTAGGAACTAAGTTGAGTTATAGTACAGCATATCATCCACAAACTGATGGACAATCTGAGAGAACTATTCAAACTCTTGAGGATATGCTGAGAGCTTGTATTGTGGATTTTAAAGGAAGTTGGAGCCAATACTTGACTTTGGTTGAATTCGCGTATAACAATAGTTATCATTCCTCTATTCAAATGGCTCCATATGAAGCTTTGTACGGACGACGATGTCGATCTCCAATCCATTGGGATGAAGTAGGGGAGAGAAAAGTCATAGATCCGGCTACTATACCATGGGTTGAGGAAACCTATGAAAAGGTGAGAGTGATCCGCCAGAGACTTCAAACCGCCCAAAGCCGTCAGAAAAGCTATGCCGATCATAGGAGGAAAGACTTGGAGTTTGAAATAGGAGATAAGGTGTTTCTTCGGATCACACCATTGAAGGGAAAGATTAGATCCGGAAAAGGGAAAAAGTTGCAACCACGATATATAGGACCTTTCAAGGTGCTCAGCGAATAGGAAAGGTGGCTTATCGACTTGAGTTACCAGCTAGCTTATCTAGGATCCATGACGTTTTCCACGTTTCTTTGCTTAAGAAATACCATCCGGATCCGACTCACATTTTGCCACCCGAAGATGTTGAACTTGACGAGTCTTTAACCTATGAAGAACGACCTATTCAAATACTGGATCGAAAGGTGAAGGACTTGAGAAACAAGCAGATTCCTTTAGTAAAGGTACTATGGAAGCATCATGAAGTGGAAGAAGCAACTTGGGAGCTAGAAACGGATATGCAAGAAAAGTATCCTGGCCTGTTCGCGACAAAAGGTATGAATTTCGAGGTCGAAATTCTTTTAAGGGGGAGAGGATGTGAGGACCCGCAAATTTCCTACATTTTTCCTCAAAAATACCTTTTATTTGAAAATTATTATTTATTAAGGCCCCTACCTCATTATTTCACACTAAGTGTAAATAAACCTAGAAAATAAGGTTTTACGCTTTGGTTTCAAGTTTTGAGCAAAATTAGGGTTTTTGCGATTTTTCCGCCGGATGAATTTTCGGTACTGGCCGAGGATCAATTTGATGATTAAAAGTGACTTTTAAGTGAGAAATAATATGTAAGTAGTAGCAATGATATAAGGTTAGTGAATGGGAAGTAAAAACCCTAGTACGTGAGTTTTTAAGAAAAACGGCGCGAACCGGCGGGTCCCGCGCATTACCGATTGAACGCACCACTTGACCACCATTTTTCTTACCCAACAAGTTTGTTGACTTTTGTACATAATATCTTCTCTCTTGGCAGCATGTTGACCGAAATTGTGGCTAAGAAAGGCAAGAAAGAAAGAGAAAAAGAAAGGGTGGTGGTGGTGACACTTGTCACCACCTCATGGCTTCTTACCAAGACCATTACCATCCATATAACCTCAACACTTAGCCATTCTTCCTCATTTCTGCTGGTGCTGGCCGAACTTAGCTTGGAGAAAACACCAAGGAAGATTTCTTCATTTCACCTTCAAATCCAACAACTTAGTGAGAAAATCAACAAAGTAAACCGATTAAACCTACTCTTGAGTGATTATCTAGTGATTGGTGGTGGAAGTTTTGGGAAGAGAAGAGCTTGGTGCTATCTTGGAGACTCAAATCAAGGTAAGAGGATGATATCTCTCTAACTTTCTCTTTCAATCATGGTTAAAGTAAGCTTAGTAGCTTGATTGGTGGTAGATTCATGGATGCTAGCATGTGTAGAAGTTTTTCCCCAATTTATTTGATGAACTAGGGTTTCTGATTTTCTGCTCAAGTTGATGTATGATGCATGAATGTTGCAATTAAAGTTATATAAGGTGTTTAGTGGTGATTAGAACCAGAAATTTGAGATTCACTTAGAGCTAAACAATTCCAGATTTCTGGAAAATTTCCCAAGCATTCTGTCCGAAATTGTATCTATATGTTAGAGGCCGAATTGGCCTTTGGTCAAAGAAGGAAAGTTGTAGAGAATGGTATTTTATAGGTGCCTATAAAATTTCAGCTCAATCGGAGCAACGCAGAATGTGAAAAGTCCAAAATACCCCTACTGTTTTAAGAATTTCCCAGCAGTCCGTTTCTTCAGTTCAGTCCAGTTTATCACGATTTTTGACCAGGATCCATTCTGATTTAGCTCTGGGCCAAAACATAAAAGTTGTAGTGTTCTGAAGTAGCTTTAAAATGCCTCAAAGAAAACCTGATTCGGACTTGTGTACACTGAGTTAGGTCCATTACAGCATAATGCGTTTAAACTGCCGGTGAATTGGTTTCTGGTTTAGTAATCTGAGATTTTGACTAAGTTACATTAGGAAATGGACTAAGTGACCTTCATGAATGTTGTAGCTCTGTGCCTTAGCTTCGAAACGGCGTAGGTTTCGTTTTAATCCGATAAGCGTAGCCTCAGGTATGGTATTACCGCATTTGTACGTCAAATCTGTATTGAACTACATTGCGTTTCTGCACTTGTACTTGATGCAATTCGTGTTGTTATGATATTGTGAGCCTATGGAACGGCTCTTGACATAAATTGCTTATTTGTATGATGTTGGGATGTTGTTGAAGAAAAATAATGAAGCCTAAATGGCTGGAAATTAGGTAAACACAAAGGGCATGCTGCCCAAATTTTTACTCGAGGTCTAGAAAACTATCTTTGCGACTTGAGTGAAGGTTAAGTGATTATTACTTGAACTATCGAGGACTTTTGCCACTTGTTTATCGAGGGTTATATGTTAGGACTTGGCCGAACTTGTACCCTTAGGAAAATGATATGAATCACTACGAAACCGTTTTACTTGCACTTTTGACTCAAGAGTCATCTTCAAGCAAAAATGTTATTTAATTTTTCAGTTTAAAGAGCGAGCAACTATTTCACGACTCTTCTCAAGTGAATTTCAATTTCTTGATTCTTATTGAACGAAACACTTAAGTTTCAAACCTTGGTTGATTTTCAAAGTTCTCAAGTTAAGTTTTATCGCAGATTTGGACTCCCAACTCGGAGTACCACCCAGACACGAGCACTAGAAGCACTATTTTGGTGAGTGCTTCCAAATATCCGATTGTACTTGATATGTGTACTCCTTACTTGACTTGCGTGATTACATGACAATGAATGAAAGGGCAAGGGTGTACTTTATCGCACTTGCCCTAATATGACCTGTTCTTGCTATTGATCATACTTGACTTGTTGTACATGTACTTGAATTATATCTTGCCTGGAATTCCAGAAAACCCTGTGGCTAGTTAATCGAGTCGAGCCGGCAAGGGCCTGGTCGATTAGATAACAAACCCTGGGTCACTTGTAATGTCGAGTGGAGTGTTATCTCCTCGACTAACAGTATACTCGAGTATTACCACCCATGTTTTGTATGGCGTGCGGGCCCGGAATAGGGGGTTGATCGGTGGACGGAAATTGGCGTGTAGTGGAGTTTATTTGGACTGGATATTACTTGAAAGTTGACGGAGTGTCAACTACCACTTAACCAAGCTGGAATGGAGCTGAAAATGAGTACTGTATCCTTATATGTGAATATGAATCTGACTACTTGGCTAGCTGAAGTACTATTTCCCTGATTTGACTTGTTTGCTCGCTATTTCACTTTTATTTTGCTATAACTTGGTTGTTGACCAATTTGATATTTGGGAACTTCACTGAGCTTTGGTTCACCCCATTAGTTTGTTTTCCTTACAGGGGTACGAGTGACGCGAGGGACTTGTAAAAGACTAGTGTAGCCTTTTGTTTTGACTTCGGACTTTTGGTCTTGTACTCGCGTTTTTCCTCGAACGGAACATGTTGTACTTGGATTGTATACTTTTTGAACTAGTTGGGTGTATTAAGACTTTGTACCTCGATTCCTATCAATGTAAATTATAAGTTTGAATTGTGAATGTTATTTATGGTTCATGGATGTGTGTATACGATTCGATTGAGATAGTGAGTGAGTCCTGGCGAGAGCTGGGCAGGCGGTCCGCCGAACCCTTTGGTACGCCTTAGGGGGAGGTGGGGTCGTCACATCCCACGCCCACTAGACTGACCCAACAGGTTTTTGAGCTGATGTTAGGTTCTCATAATCGTCAATGCAAAGTTATTAGTAATTCGATGGATCGGACGTTATATACTATTTCTTTTCTTTTCATGGGTCTGATGTGGGACACTTCACTCTCTCCATCTTTTAAAACGTTGCATTCTCACAAAACCTATTACAATTCAAACTGTTCATTTAGTCGTGCACAAATTTTAGAGGTGATTCTTTAGGTTGTACGCAGATTCTAGAGGTGGTTCTTTAGAACTTTGCATTCTCATTAGTCGTACGTGAATTTCAGAGGTGACTCGTTAGCTTGTCCGCAAATTTTAGAGGTAACTCTTTAGAACTTTGCATTGTCATAAAGCCTGTTACGGTTCAAATTATCCACTTAATCATGTGCGGATTCTAGACGTGTCTCATATGGTTTTAAAATTGACCCACGTCCGACGTGACCCTTAACTCCATATAGTACTTTGTTTCTTGCACTTCGTTGCGCAATCTGAACCATAACCTGCTGGTTTAGACTTATCCCATGCAAATTCGCTCTAATACCACTTGTAACACCCCTATGCCAGTTGGACTGACCCAATATCTTTTTGAGCTAAAACCACGGGATCAAAATGATTAATCCAAAGTTATTGGTAATTTGATGGATTGGACGTTATAATTTCCTTTTCTTTTCCTCCATCCGATGTAGGATATTTCATCTTTGTATTATATTATAATTAGAATGTCAGTTCTAATTCTAACGTGATAAAACAAAGATTATATTATATGTAAAAGATTCTGAATTCAATATCTCTTACTTAAAAAAAAAAAAGTGAGAAAGTTTTTTAAAAAAATGCAAGAGTGCTACCATCCAAACAACTGCGCTGCTATCTACCAGTCACTGGACAACTGAAAAAGTCAAGACAGACTGATGCAAATGAATGTTCATGGGGGTAATCAACGTGATAATTCAGCCTCTTTGAAGGTTAATCAACAAAAAGGAATACTATTGTTATTAATCTATCTGTCAAGTGGTTATTGCATAAATGGTAAAACCAGGCTATTGAGCACAGTTAAATTACAAATCTCTCTTGGTATTCCTCCTGCAAAACTGTAGATTATATCACTTTCTGACATTAAGAATTTTCATGACATCTAGACAATTGAGTAAACTTCTCCAGAAAAAATTAGCACATGGGCTGGAATCAGAAACCTATAGCTATTTTCTTCTGCTTGGCTTTCAGATGTAATTAACCTAATTGATAATATTTATATTGGTTCAGTTCCACTAATGGTTCGAAGTCTCGGCCGAGACCGAGATGACTCGGCCGAGTCGTCACCGTCTCGACCTCTACCGATACGATACCGTGACGAGACGATACTGAGATACTTGATTCGCCGAGAAATCGGCCGAGACGTCACCGCGACGGATTGACTCAGCCGAGTCATACCGAGTCACTCTGAATTATCCTGAGTCAAGACGAGAAATCGGCCGAGTTACACCGTGACGGATTGACTTGGCCATTTCTTTTGTTATTTTTTATTATTTTTGTTTAGCATACTTTTTTTTTATATTATTAACAATTTTTAGAATATTAAATACTTTAAAATTTGCGTCTCACCGAGACCGTGACCGATATGCCGAGACCGACGTGGAACGTTCCGGGCCGCGACCATGACCGCGACCGCGACTTTGAACCATGGTTCCACTTTTTTGCATGTAGGCATGACTACATACTTCTCAAGTCTGTAAAAAAAAACTTTATTATTTGATTTTGATTGCGACAAATTGCACAAATATGACCAGTAGATGGATGAAAGTACCTTCCAAATTGTTATAGAGAACATTCTCAGGTGCAGCTTGTACAGATTCCCAATTTCTGTTGGTATATATCCACTAAACTGGTTCTTGGACAAAAGCAGGGATTGAAGCTTATCTAACAAACCGAACCATGTTGGTACCTCTTCAACAAAGTTGTTTGTATCCCAATTTAATCAATGTATCTCAATCGACCCAAATCAACCATTTTTTTCTGGCAGCACAGCGTTTCAGTTAATTTGTTTCTCATGTCAAGAGAAACAAGCAAGATATGAGAAACAAGAAACGAGAGGTTTCCTAGGTGTGGAGGAGCGCTGCCCGCGAAACCCATGTTCGAAATACTGACCTCGGTAACCCTGCCTTGTGGCGAGAGCTGCAAGTGACTCCAATCCAGTAGCTGAAGGAGACTACAGCAGACCAATTTTCTGCCAAGATTGAAGTTGCAGGATCAGAAGTTATATGTTCTTTCAAGGCAAGAGGGCTAATTGATCCACATAGAAACTATGATAATTGAGAACGACCCCGATAGATCAATTTGCCCTTCTAGCTTTAAGAGAACATATAACTTGCCCGTCGTGAAGTCGGTTCTGGCCATGGCCAAAGAACTATCAGATAAGTATACGGCATGAGATCAATATATAACTAGCAGTAGTTCTACATATTCCTAACTACGCCGAGAATGCTAAAATGGTTTGAGAAATTATATAGTTTCAATTCAGTGTACTAGTAAACTTCTAGTATTCCCCATCATCCTATTGGACATCTTGCTCTTGTGTGGTTGGAGTTCCCCACATTTCCCATTCCCACTTTGATTTTTCATGTTGACGTTTACTTGAGGTGGATGGGTTTTCACAAGACAAGCTTGTCCTTGGTGTAAATGAGTTAGAATAGGGTGTAAATGAGTTAGAATATAGTGTAAAAGAAAATTATAAATATGGCGTAAATAATTTGAATACAGTATAAACAAATAATTAAAATTATCATTTTATTCTGAAATGGAGCGAAATGCAACTTGTGAATCCCGAGATCCTTAATTGGAGATGGGGGAGAAAGGGGGCAAAATGAAATGACGTAAAGTTTTACTCAGTTTCAATCCTTAAAATGATTCAGTAAAATTATAAAGTCTGAACTCTAATTCGTGTTATCAATTTTTGCAACTATGCTTGACCAAAAAAAAATCATATCCAAGACACAATAAATGGTAAAATTTAGCCGTTAATCAATTTGCCTTGCCGTTCTTAGTCTTATACTCTTCATTTTTGCACTAAAACAACCAATTTTCATGCTTGGTTCGGCTAACATAGTTTGAAACTCGTAGAAGCGATTTGACGAATAACTTGGGAACTTCCAATATTGATTTGAATATTTTTTAAAACTGATTCAAAAGACAAAAAAAAAAAATTCATCACAAAATTATGGCCCTTAACGGGGACAAACTTGATCAAAATCTTGGGAGTGAGATTTGTGGCCACAATATATGTTGATCAAAAGACAAACATGGCGCTCCTCCACCTACCAATTGAGGCAAAAATTTTTACTTTGTGGAGTGTTAATGTGTCTATACACCGTTGTCATTGCTGAGTAGCTATTTTCATCAAAGACTAATGTCCAATTTATGTAACATCAAATTGAACAAGTATTCTAGGCAGGCAGCTACGTATTCATTTTGACCATTTGGCCAGTACTTGCAGGCGGAGACCCTGAGTCTTCTTCTCACCTTTTTTCCTCCATTAACGAAAGCCACAGGTAGAATAGTCAAGTATCGTGTCTGGAATATCTAGCCGTGTCGTGTAGGTTGTGTAACTGATGCTACTAAATTTTTTTAAAATTTATTATGGACCAATTTTCTATTCAACGGACTACATTGATCAAATTTTTATAGTTAAGGGACTAAGACTATGGCCATGATAACAGAACAGTGACGTTAATTAAGACAAAGGACCAAGATTTTCAATTTTCTAATAGATGTCTTACTATAATGTGGAATTCGGCAATATTTCAATAAGGGTTCATAGTGCCATATTCATCAAAACTTTTACAGAATGCCAGTCAAAACTTTTCGCATCAATATTTCACATTTGTAAATATGGATGCTTGCCCCGCGCTAATTTGACTGGTTTCGTAATCTGGTAGTTATCAGTAGGCTAGGTTCCGTGATTGATTCTATGAGTTATCTGACTGTGTATCCTTGGAGTAAGGCTCTACACAGTTTTAAGGGATTAACTTGATCGAAAAACTGAAATACCTCTCAATGAAAAACAAATGCGGATGCTATTTTTTAGGAAGCCATTTCGCATAATATTGCGCCAAGTGTCATGTTATTATTTACACTTGTGTTAAACCAAACCAAGTTAAATTATTAGAAAATTAAAGTGTAAATAATAACAAAACACTTGGCGCAATACTATAGGTGGCATTGGATTGGCATAAAAAACATGATACCGAGGATCTCAAGTGTTCGCCCATCTCATTCCTTTAACACCACAGAATATTTATTTTTCGGCACTTAAAAGATTGCCTTCCAATAGTTTCGGAGCAATTCAAGTGACTCATTCATTCTTTAGTTTCCCACAATTTTCGGTTAAATCACAAATGTTATAGGTTGGTCACTTTCTACGAAGGTAAAGGAACTAAATTGAGAAATAATGTAGATAGCCCGTCACCTTCACGAAGATAAGGAACGTAATCAAGAATCTCTCTCATCCAATAGGGTCCTCACGATAAGTTTTGGGTCCTAACATCGCCAAATGGGCTGGATGTTATACAGCCTCACCAATCAGAGTTTACAATTTTAACAATTGAGATTGACATGTCGGAAAACCAACAAAATTATTTTTGCAACAAGTTTAATTGTTCCATGAGTCTTTAAATGAATATAAAGCCTCAAGAAAAGATTGAATGCTATAAATTTACTTCTTTTTTTTTTACCTTAAAAATGATCAACAGTGATTTTTCACTTATCCCTTTATGACTCTAACCAGTGATCAGTCGGCTATTTTGTTATATCTTTGGCTAAGAAAATCCATCAATTATTACATAGATTATACGATACCAACATAATGATAGAATTATTACACAAATAATTGCACGTAAGATTGAGACCAATTCCACCACAAATGTGCTAGGTCAGTTGCGCCAATAAAATCAAGACGAAATCCCCAAGATAAATTGACATTACCTTTTGTTTTTAGAGAAAAAACAAACATAATTATTTCTTGTCAAAGTAGAAACCTGGATGTGAACTAGCAAGAAAATTGAAGGAACCCTTATCATAATTCAAAATAGATGGTGGTGCTTTCCCTCGGCTTTTTCTTCTTCTTTTTTGGCATTATTTTTCTCATGATGCTCATGGAATGCCAATCCGCCAGCTCCAACTGCAGCTGCTGCACCAATCTCTTCTTCTAACTTGTGCCTGCGGGCATTCTGCGGATCCTTCTTGGCCTCGTGCTTCTCATGCTGACCATCATTCCATGCAAATTCACACCATAGATGAGCTAACAAAGTTCAGAAATTATTTTGGCTCAGACCATATTAATTATGTCTACAAGTTTTAGTATACTACTTGGGCTTGGTTTTGCTCAGGAATCACTAATCTTTAGATATCTTAGAAATAGCGGTTGATGTAACACCTTTTAGCCACCTGCAGATCTAGTCCATTCTGAACCCACTACCATATGGGTTTTAAGAAACTGGCTTTTGACATTCTCCAAAATTAAATGCAACTTCTCCTCCCAACAGTAGAGTATACAAATGAACGTCCCCTACTGTCTAACCCATCATCAATCTTGATTTTTTAGGGGAGACGTCTAACAATAGTTGTACCAAAATTGATGCATAGATCTTCCTCTTCCGTGAATGAAAAAGCATGTTTTTTTTTTATTTTGATTGATTAATCTATGGGGGACATAAACCAGCTTAAATCAAGAACATTAGAATTTTACCAAAGCGTAGGCACCAGCGGCAGCAGCTGCAAGCTCATCGAGCTCCTCAAGATGCTTGTGGTGTTTCCTTTCTTCCTCGTTATGGTGGCCGAAGAGATGGTGGTGCTGAGTCTGATCAGCCATTGTGGTTGTCGATTTGTAATGGTTAAGAATGAAAATTTGATATTTTTTTGTTATTAAGTGTGAGTGCTAGGAATTTCATGACATTGCTATTTATAGGTCCTGATCCTTTCCCAATCAGTTAGGATAAATCCTAATCGCGGGAGACGGAAGGGGCGCAAGAAATGGCCATACCTCAACGTTCTATTAGTGTTCAATGTTTAAGTATAATAGACATTCATTATTCAATCAACATCATAACAAATTTCATTTCGAGTAACGTCACAAATTATTGGAAAAAACAAATTTCTATGCGGATCATCAGATAGAGCCCAAAAGAATACTCATCATCCTTTGAGCATATTCCAAACTGATATCTAATTTTTATACTGCAACCAAACATTTCATTAATAACAACAGCACTTCACACAAACTCTAATAAAGTCAGCAGCGCCAACAAAAGCAGGCGCACAACTCAAATGAAAAACAACACTTTTTTTTTTTTTTTGAGTAACAGATTATTAAACATGATTATTGGCAGTACGAGCTCAATACTGGAAGATAGACAAGGGAACAATATTAAAAAGACCACCCAAGGATTAATGAAAATCCGAGTGGTTAAACTAAAATAGGTGGTGGTGGTGCTTTCCCTCAGCCTTTTCCTCTTCTTTCTTGGCATCCTTCTTCTCGTGATGCTCATGGAACGCAAATCCACCGGCACCCACTGCAGCTACTGCTGCAATCTCTTCTTCTATCTTGTGCTTGTGGGCATGCTCAGGATCTTTCTTGGACTTGTGCTTCTCATGCTGGATTATGGAAATTTCGACAAAAAAAACAAACAAGAAATTAGTAAAGCCAAAAACCATGTCCTACTTAAAAGAGTTTATGATACAGTCAATTGACTGCAAAATTTTTAGTCCGATTAGAGCATAAAATTCAACACAACACTATAATTGGACCATACCATACGATTTTATCCCCCCTAGAGATTCTTTAATCTTTTTTTTTTTATTTTTCGAAAGAGATTTTTCTGATTTACTGAACAACCCTTTTGATATTGGACGTACATAATCTTTGATTGTCTGATCAAACGAAATGATAACAAAAATGTTTAGTCTTTATGGACTAATACAAAAAAAAACTGAGTTTAATTTGTGGCTTCTTATAGACAAGCATGCCTTCGTGGCTTATCATGAAAACTGAGTTATACAAGCAAGGATCACAAAATCGGAAATATACCAAGGCATAGGCGCCAGCAGCGACAGCACCGAGTCCACCAAGTTGCTCAAGGTGCTTGTGGTGCTTTCTTTCTTTCTCATAATCATGTGCTGGCTCTCCACCGTAGCCTCCAGAGTAGGTGGTGTCGGAGTAGCCAACGGCTTCGGCAGCCGTCTGTTCCTTGTGGTGGTGGAAGGGGTTGTGGTGGTGGAAGGCTTCAGCCATGATAGTCTTAGTGGTGTAAAACTGATAATAGGACAACTTATGAAAAATATCTGATCTGAGTGGTGGTAATTTTCTGTTTGTTGGATTGTGGAGAGGAGGCTATTTATAGCCTACAGGCGATGATTTAGTAGTAATCGGCTAGAAATCTTAGTTATTGGATAGTGTTAGGAGCGTGATTAACGGGCGTTGAAAAAAAAAATTGATAGAAAAAGGAGGATATATATATATATATATGGAAGGGTAATTAGTCGTGTCATCAAACACAATTTTGCTGATTGACAAGGGATAGTGGGAAATTAAAACTCTATTAAATCATGATTAAGCGGTTGAAACATATCTTAGTGATCAATAATCAACATTTTGAAAGTTAAATGGTCTACCAGTATTTCTTGGTCAAGATAGCCAAAGAGATATTTTCTAGATATTTACCAAAAAAAGAAGTATTCTAGATTGTTTAAGCAATTCTTTTTTTTTTCCCACCTTACGACTATTAAATAATTTGGTTCTCCAATAACCAAGAAGTTTGGTATGGTTGGGTTGAAGTATTAAGCTCAATCACTAATTATAAATTCATAGTTTGAAGTTTCTTCTCCTTTCATCCAATTCATTGACATAGACCCCATCCCCAGACAAACTATACAGGATGCAACTTGGGGTTTTTTTTCCAATTGATCCATTTTGTATCACAATTTTTATCGGACTAACAATTTTTATCGGACTAAGAATTGATATATTTTATCGGACCAATCATATAATATAGGAAATAAGAATTGATATAAATCCAAACAAAAAAGAAGCAAGCCACGTAGAAAATTACTTGCTATCTCGTTAAGCCACATAAGAAAAAGAAAACATGAAACGATAAATGAGGATACGACTTTATTATATATATATATATATGATTTGGTTCTCCAATAACCAAGAAGTTTGGTGTGGTTGGGTTGAAGAATTAAGCTCAATCACTAATTATAAATTCATAGTTTGAAGTTTCTTCTCCTTTCATCCAATTCATTGACATAGACCCCATCCCCAGACAAACTATACAGGATGCAACTTGGGTTTTTTTTTGTCAATTGATCCATGATTGATACAAATGGACGATTAATGTTGATATTACTTTACAGATGTAACTCATAGCCATATGCACCTTCAAGTTTCTCCTCTCTGACCAATTGTGCTCTAACGCCTGTTTGGAAGGGTCAATTCACAGGTATGGCCTCCACCACATGGATATGATGTTGTTTGCCACCCCTTTGTTCACAATTTTAAGCAAAGTTGGAAGATGGATGCATGAATGATCCAAATGCATTGACTATCCACCACTTGAATGTTGATATCTGGGGTGGTTTAGATTCAGATTATTTTCCATTTGTATATTTCCTTTTCTTCGCTGTTAAGGAAACGTGGTCGGTGAGACGTGCCAACTAAATTTCCATTTGGGGACCAATTAATTTACTCGCTCAAGAAGAGTACATTATCGTGATATGGATAGGAAACATCCGTGGGAGAAGAAATTCTGCCCCAAGAATGGAAAAAAGAAGGTTGATTTGTCCATCCACCTAATATTCACACTTGGAAAATGAAATCACAGATTTCATGACTCTTTGAATAGTTGCAACAAAATGGAGACTTCAAACCACCCCCCATGAAAATCTTATAATGTCGAGTTAATATCATACTACCAAAAAGAAAGGGAAAAAGAAAAGGTAAAATTCGACACTGCCCAAACTTAATGTCCACTTTACCTTCATAAAGTCATTGTAGCTCTCTACAACAACAAATTGACAAACTCTTTTAAGTAAGTACTAAAACTATTAGGGTTTGTTCAGTTGTCAAAATAGGCTCTTAACGTCCTTTCAATTATGAGGTTCAGATTTCGAATTCTGAGTCTCTCGGTACAAAGGAGAAAAGGGTATAATATGACTGCAAGAAAAAGGTATGAACAGGAATGAAAGAATGTAATAAATAAATAAATAAAAATTTGTCAAAAAAAAGCTCTTAGCGTCCTTTCAATTATGAGATTCAGATTTTGAATTCTGAATCAGACAATATAAAGGCGAGAAGGGTGTAATATGAAGGCAAGAAAAAATAAACAAATAAAAGTACTGGCGAACGGATATTAGATTGTTTGAGGTCATTTGACCTTGATACTTAGGTGTCAGGTGGGCAGGCTTTATCCAATCTCTTGAGGCCCAATAACAGCACCCACATTTGAAATTGGAGCCTGATTTGGCCCAAAAGTTCACTCTTATTCAATTCAGTAGACCAAAATTAACTCATGAAATGCTTATTTCTAGGACTGTGGCCCAAAAAAAACAAATGGAAAGAGGACGAAATATTGGGCTCCTGCTTGCATGCATTACGAGTGATGAATTGAGCTTTTTGATCACCATCTATGAGAATTCAATCCTGGAAAGATACACTCAACTATACGGTATATACGAGTGATGAACTGAGCTTTTTGATCACCATCTATTTGATGACCTTTTCACATCGCTATTTTTTGATAATATTTTCAGCCAAATTGGTTGAACTAACCAGCCACTATACATACCTTCAGAGTATAGAAGATTGACAAACTTCACCTATCAACAGGGAATTTAGGCCATAACAGATGCTTGACAGGTATGTTGCATAGTGTAAGCAGTGGAGACCAAGCTGAAAGAGATATGCTCTCTCTAGGTTGGCATGCTCCTTTTTTTGAAGTCTGGAAACAGTTCTGCTATCCCGGCAAGTAATACGAGTTCCGAGATCAAGGGGAGTTTCCACTGTGAGAAGCCATCAAAAATCAATGAGCTCTTTAACTTCTTGCAGATGTCGACTTTCATGACTAAGGAAGCTCCATACTTTTTCTGTTATGTTGACAATACAATTTATGTGCTGCCTGCTTATGTCCCCAAACATTGCATATTGATCTTCAGTATTAATAAAAGAATTGATCTTCAGCATTTATGGCTTAGAATGGATGAATTTTCAGAAACAGATTGGTGCAAACTGGAAAATGTAACCCAGGCTGAGCTTCTAAAGAGATAAACTAGGGACTCCCCGGCATTTTTCCAGAAATTCGCAACACAGACAATTATTGAAGATTCAGAAAGAAAAAGATGATGCGTAACTATAGCCAACAACAAGGAGTAGGCTGCACTTATTCTGCTCAGAGTGAAAGCTTCCATATGATGCTGATGATTTTCAGAATTAAGAGCCAAGAGGTCACTAGCACGGACTCTGTATGCTGAAGCAAGTGTGGTGTATGCATGTAGAGATTGATGATGAAACAAGTGTAACCTTATGCATTGAGGTGACTTTTCTGGCTTTGGTCTCAGTGGCCCCTGAAGGTGCCCATGTGTAAGCAAATCCTCAAGCTTCTCACAGCATGACTCGGGATTGTTAAAGGTCAAATACTCATCAATAGCACCATCAATTGAATCCATGAATTTCGTAGTTGCCTTGGATTTGTACGAGTCTTCATTGGAAGTTAAGTTGAGACCATCAACACCAGAAACAAAAGTTTCCTACACAAAAAGGCAAAAGCAAATAAGCAGTTAAAGCCACGTTGTCTGTTCATGAAAACTCACATTCATGACAATTGAACCATAGAAGATTTCAGAATTCCTTTCTTTTGGTCTATACTTTGAGCGGAAACATGCTAATGTCAGATGGTTAAGGCAGCAAGTCAGGTAAAGTACAATGGAATTGTACATGACAGTGCTTTTCAAGAGTGCAGCAAGAAATGACTCCAGTGATTTTCACTGCTAGTAGTAATTTATGAGGAGGGACGGTTAATGGATACGGTCATAGTTCTGGAGTACTGAGCAGCAAAGAAGAGAAACACACAGGATAAAGGAACTTAAAATTGGAGTTGTAGGTTTAACAGAATAGAAAACCAAGGACAAGCAAGTACAGGGGACGATACCAGCAAAGCACGATCAATATAAGTTGCAGGAGTTGCAGTACATCGCTTACACAGCAACAATTGAACCGGTAATTTGTAAACAATTCAGCCTGCCGCATTTACTGAAGAATATATGTCAGAGCAAACGCTGAGTAACCAAGTACTTAACTCAAGCTGGATCAATGCACAAGTTAACCACCCAAGACTGCAAGTTAGTCAAGCAACAATAAACATTGTATAACTAATAGATGTCATATTTTCAGGACACCGCCTTGTTCAAGTATGAATAAACTTGACTGAATTGCAACAAAGTAGTGACATGTATCAAAGATGAGAATTGAATATCTTTCCATGTGAAACATAAATTATAAAGATAAAAGCAACTATTCGGATCCTATATTATAATTGGTTCCCAAGGCAGAAAATGTGTCATCATCAACATAGTCATTATCTTTTTTAACTCAAATCAGCACCATCAAGCCAGAACAAACAGTATACAAGAGACTATTATGCCTTTTATTATGGCTTGTGGTGGCGGTGCTTCTCTTCCTTGTGGTGGTGGACGAGGTGGTGGCGGTGCTTCTCTTCAGCCATGATGGTCTTAGTGGTGCTTCTCTCGACAGGCTTGTGGTGGTGGTGCTTCTCTTCCTTGTGGTGGTGGTGGTGGTGGTGGTGGTGGTGCTGGACGAGGTGGTGCTGGTGCTGGTGCTGGTGCTGGACGAGGTGGTGCTGGTGCTTCTTCTCTTCCTTGTGGTGGTGGACAAGGTGGTGGTGGTGCTTCTCTTCCTTGTGGTGGTGGACGAGGTGGTGGTGGTGCTTCTCTTCAACCATGATGGTCTTAGTGGTGCTTCTCTCTTCAACCATGATGGTCTTAGTGGTGCTTCTCTCTTCCTTGTGGTGGTGGACGAGGTGGTGGTGGTGCTTCTCTTCCTTGTGGTGGTAGTGGTGGCGCTTCTCTTCAGCCATGATGGTCTTAGTGGTGCTTCTCTCGACAGGCTTCTCTTCCTTGTGGTGGTGGACGAGGTGGTGGCGGTGCTTCTCTCCAGCCATGATGATCTTAGTGGTGTAAAACTGACAATAGGACAACTTATGAAAAATATCTGATCTGAGTGGTGGTGATTGTTTGTTTGTTGACTGGAGGCTGTTTATAGCCTATAGGCGATGATTTAGTAGTAATCGGCTAGAAATCTTAATTATTGGATGGTGTTAGGAGCGTGATTAACGGGCGTTGAAAAAAAAATTGATAGAAAAAGGAGGTTTAAATTCATTTCCACAAATTTTCAATGCGTTGAATTAGGTGAATTTGGATTTTAACTCTGTCTTTTTTTTTGGGGGGATATCAGAGCTGTTTAATTTTTTGGGACCATTAAGGAGGATATATATATATATATATGGAAGGGTAATTAGTCGTGTCATCAAACACAATTTTGCTGATTGACAAGGGATAGTGGGAAATTAAAACTCTATCAAATCATGATTAAGCGGTTGAAACATATCTTAGTGATCAATAATCAACATTTTGAAAGTTAAATGGTCTACCAGTATTTCTTGGTCAAGATAACAACTAGTGATCTTCAGCCAAAGAGATATTTTCTAGATATTTACCAAAAAAAGAAGTATTCTAGATTGTTTAAGCAATTCTTTTTTTTTTTCCCCACCTAACGACTATTAAATAATTTGGTTCTCCAATAACCAAGAAGTTTGGTATGGTTGGGTTGAAGTATTAAGCTCAATCACTAATTATAAATTCATAGTTTGAAGTTTCTTCTCCTTTCATCCAATTCATTGACATAGACCCCATCCCCAAACAAACTATACAGGATGCAACTTGCGTTATTTTTTTCAATTGATCCATTATTGATACAAATGGACGATTAATGTTGATATTACTTTACAGATGTAACTCATAGCCATAAGCACCTTCAAGTTTCTCCTCTCTGACCAATTGTGCTCTAACGCCTGTTTGGAAGGGTCAATTCACAGATATGGCCCTCCACCACATGGATATGATGTTGTTTGCCACCCCTAGAGCTGTTAATCGAGCCGAGTATTTGGCTGCCGAGCTCGACTCGAGTTTAATTCGAGCCGAGCTCGACTCGAGCTCGTTAAGAAAACGAACTTTAAAATGTGTTCGAACTCGGCTCGTTAAATGTACATGTGGTTCGAGTTCTCGAGCTCGACTCGTTTATCACAAACGAATCGAGCTTCACGAGCTCGAGCTCGAGCTCGTGCAAATAAACATTAATAAAAATCTATAATTTTTAATTTATATAATTTTGATTTCTAAAATGACAAATATGCCCTTCATTAACGAGCTCTAACGAGCTACTCGAGTATCAAACGAGCCGAGCTTACTCGGCTCGTTAACTAAACGAGCATGTTTCGAGCTCGAGCTCGACTCGTTAAACCTTAACGAGCCGAGCTCTAACGAGATTTCGAGCTACTTGATTGGTTTAACAGCTCTAGCCACCCCTTTGTTCACAGTTTTAAGCAAAGTTGGAAGATGGATGCATGAATGATTCAAATGCATTGGCTATCCATCTTCTGACATGACCATTTATTGCTTCATTTTGGCAGATACATTGAGCCTAAGCATTTCTTTAATTTCATTTTCTAAGGTGGTTTCCAATAACTAAATTCATTTAATCTTTTTCCTCGTGGGTTTTTTTTTTTCTGGATCAGATTTCAACTGGCCGGTGAGGAGTTCACATACTTGAGTGTTGTTATCTGGGGAGGTTTAGATTCAGATTTTCCATTTGTATATTTCCTTTTCTTTGTTGTTAAGGAAACGTGGTGGTCGGTGAGATGGGCCAACTAAATTTTCATTTGGGGACCAAATTAATTTACTCGCTCAAGAAGAGTACATTATCGTGATATGGATAGGCAACATCTGTGGCAGAAGAAATTCTGCCCCCAAGAATGGAAAAAAGAAGGTTGATTTGTCCATCCACCTAATATTCACACTTGGAAAATGAAATCACAGATTTCATGACTCTTTAATCTTTATGCCCCCCATGAAAATCTTATAATGTTGAGTTAATATCATACTACCAAAAAGAAAGGGAAAAAGAAAAGGTAAAATTCATCACCGTCAAACTTAATGCTTACTTCACCTTCATAAAGTCATTGTAGCTCTCTACAACAACAAATTGACAAACTATTTTAAATGGGTACTAAAACCATTAGGGTTCGTTTAATTGTCAAAAAAGGCTCTTGACGTCCTTTCAATTATGAGTTTCAGATTTCGAATTTTGAGTCTCTCGATATGGAGGAGAAAAGGATATAATATAAAGGCGAGAAAAAGGTATGAACAAGAATGAGAAGATGTAAATAAATAAATAAATAAAAGTTTGTCAAAAAAGGCTCTTAGCATTCTTTTAATTATGATGTTCAGATTTCGAATTCTGAATCTGACAATATAAAGGCAAAAAGGGTATAATATGAAGACAAAAAAAAATAAACAAATAAAAGTACTAGAGTCCAGAGAACAGATGTTAGATTGTTTGCAATGTATTGTTTAGGTCATTTGACTTGATACTTAGGTGTCAGGTGGGCAGGCTTTATCCAATCTCTTGAGGCCCAATAAGAGCACCCACATTTGAAATTGGAGCCTGATTTGGCCCAAAAGTTCACTCTAATTTAATTCAGTACACCAAAATTAACTCATCAAATGCTTATTTCTGGGATAATGGCCCAAAGAATAACAAAAGGAAAGAGGACGATAATATTGGCCCCTGCATGGCTGCATGCATAAATTGCCACTTAAGACCTCCGATGAGAATTCAATCCTGGAAAGATACACTCAACTATACGGTATATACGAGTGATGAATTGAGCTTTTGATCACTATCTGATGAGCTTTTTACATCGCTATTTCATAATATTTGCAGGCAAATTGGTTGAATTAACCAGCCACTATACATACCTTCAGAGTATAGAAGATTGACAAACTTCACCTGTCAACAGGGAATTTAGGCCATAACAGATGTTTGACAAATATGTTGCATAATGCAGGCAGTGGAGACCAAGCTGAAAGAGATATGCTCTCTCTAGGTTGGTATGCTCCTTTTCTTGAAGTCTGGAAACAGTTCTGCTATCCCGGCAAGTAAGACGAGTTCCGAGATCAAGGGGAGTTTCCACTGTGAGAAGCCATCTAAAATCAATGAGCTCTTTAACTTCTTGCAGATGTCGACTTTCATGACTAAGGAAGCTCCAAATTTTCTCTGTTAAGTTGACAATACCATTTATGTGCTGCCTACTTATGTCCCCAAACATTGCAAATTGATCTTCAGTATTAATAAAAGAATTGGCTCCACTGCTATCCAGTTGGACAATCTGATAGCGTTTATGGCTTAGAATGGATGAATTTTCAGAAACAGATAGCTGTAAATTGGAAAATGTACCCCAGGCTGAGCTTCTAAAGAGATAAACTAGGGACTCCCCAGCATTTTTCCAGAAATTCGCAACACAGACAATTATTGAAGATTCAGAAAGAAAAAGATGATGCGTAACTATAGCCAACAACAAGGAGTAGGCTGCACTTATTCTGCTCAGAGTGAAAGCTTCCATTTGATGCTGATGATTTTCAGGATTAAGAGCCAAGAGGTCACTAGCACGGACTCTGTATGCTGAAGCAAGTGTGGTGTATGCATGTAGAGATTGATAATGAAACAAGTGTAACCTTATGCATTGAGGTGACTTTTCTGGCTTTGGTTTCAGTGGCTCCTGAAGGTGCCCATGTGTAAGCAAATCCTCAAGCTTCTCACAGCATGACTCGGGATTGTTAAAGGTCAAATACTCATCAATAGCACCATCAATTGAATCCATGAATTTCGTAGTTGCCTTGGATCTGTATGAGTCTTCATTGGAAGTCAAGTTGAGACCATCAACACCAGAAACAAAAGTTTCCTACACAAAAGGCGAAAGCAAATAAGCAGTTAAAACCACGTTGTCTGTTCATGAAAATTCACATTCATGACAATTGAACCATACAAGATTTCAGAATTCCTTTCTTTTGGTCTATACTTTGAACAGAAACATGCTAATGTCAGATGGTTAAGGCAGCTAGTCAGGTAAAGTACAATGGAATTGTACGTGACCAGTGCTTTTCAAGAGGAACAATGATAAAACGTACACATACAGCAAGAAATGACTCCAGTGATTTTCACTGCTAGTAGTAATTTATGTGGAGGAACAGTTAATAGATACGGTCATAGTTCTGGAGTACTGAGCAGTAAAGAAGAGAAACACACAGGATAAAGGAACTTAAAATTGGACTTGTAGGTTTAACAGAATAGAAAACCAAGTACAGGGGAAGATACCTGCAAAGCACGATCAATATAAGTTGCAGGAGTTGCAGTACATCGCTTACAGCAACAATTGAACCGGTAATTTGTAAACAATTCAGCCTGCCGCATTTCCTGAAGAATATATGTCAGAGCAAACGCTGAGTAACCAAGTACTTAACTCGAGCTGGATCAATGCACAAGTTAACCAGCCAAGACTGCAAGTTAGTCAAGCGACAATAAACATTGTATAACTAATAGATGTAATATTTTCAGGACGCCACCTTGTTCAAGTATGAATAAACTTGACTGAATTGCAACAAAGTAGTGACATGTATCAAAGATGAGGATTGAATATCCTTCCATGTGAAACATAAATTATAAAGATAAAAGCAACTATTTGGATCCTATATTATAATCAGTTCAGAGGGCAAAAATGTGTCATCATCAACAAAGTCATTATTAACTCAAATCAGCACCATCAAGCCAGAACAAACAGTATACAAGAGACTATTATGCCTTTAACTCCTGCACGAATATTTCTTAGCCACCAAACTTAACCACATCTGTATCTGATTTCAACTCCAGCCCGATCAGTCCCAAAAAAGAAAAACACTGTGATGAAAAAGCCAGCACCACCAAACAAAGAAAAAGAAAGCCGTGCATCAAAACAAAACCATCGTTAACCAGAATAACACTTTCCGCGATGGTGTCATTCCTTTTCAACTCTGTTATGTTAGAAGTTTGGTAATTTTAGTATTCTAGGAATGCAGGAGCACCAAATTTCTAGCTATGCTAAATTTAACCTGTTGAAAACTGGAATAACGCACTGGTTTAAGTAGTTAGTAACTGTTTTACCTTAGGTTGTAACAAATCAGTATAAGTAATTGTGATCCTCTCATTCTTCTTAATTCCTTTTATGCTCCGGACTATGATGCTCGGACCACATCCCTCACTGCCTGCACATTATTCAACACAAATAACAATCAACCAGTTCATCATAACAACCAAAACAAAAAAATTTCAACTCAAGAAAATGCACAACGATTCAAAAACTCACTCACTCTTGCAATCACCAGCAAGTCCATCACCAGCTCCACCGTCCATGGCAGCAGGGTAAATTCTCAACCGCGGGAGCTGGGATTCTCCCTCCACCACTTGTTGAGGAGGTATGGTCTTCCTCGTTACAAACCGAAAACAAGCGTTGGGAGAACAACTATGATTAATCCACGAAAACCTCCAATCGTAAACCGCAATCCCCACATTTCTCCCGTCCTTATCCTGCACCTCCACCGCATTCGTCAGCACCAAGCACATCACCGCCTCCTCCACCCCAACCACTCCCTCCAATTTTCCCGCCAAGAGCTTCATCGCCCTCGCACCTTCCTTAATCATCTCCAATGCCTCATCTTCCTCCTCATTTTTAGACAAATTCAAGAATTTCTCATAGTTGGTCATTAACCCTCCAATCCTATCCAGTTTTGCTTCTACCGTATCGTTCTGAGAGTGGAATAGTTTATGGAGGAGGCGGAGGGAGAGGCGGAGGTGGGACGAGTCTTCGAGAGGAGGAGGGGGACACATGAAGGGAGGTGAGTCAAGGGCGGAGCAACGGGGGGAGCAGTAGTAGTGGAGGGGTAGTGAATTTGAGGGGGAAGTGGGAGTAAAATGCGCATTTGGTAGAGGAAACGAGCAGGCGGAGCAGTGGGAGTGTAGGAAAGAATCGTGGAGAGAGAAGGCCAGGGGTGAGAGTGGAGGTGTGAGGTCTTCTCCTATGCCTATGTCTTCCCCTGCTCTCATCTCCATTCTTCCTTCTGTTTCTTGAAAGATAGCAACTGTTCCCAGCGGCAGCAGTCATACATACTCAAAACAGCACTTAATAATTGGGATTTGTTTGGGGATTTTCAACGAGGCTTCTTTTGATCTATGAGCTATTGGGGACTGTGGAATTTGTTCACCAGCCTGGGCTGTCAAGTTGAGCACAGCAGAAACTTGTTTGACTGTTTAATCTTGTATGGTATGTAATTCCATTTTGATTGATGGTTACACAGAAATGAGGTTTTCAAGCAGTTATTGGCAGCTGCTTAAAGAAGCAAAGTCTCTCCTGAGCTATTGAAAGGAGGAAACTTTAAACCCGCAGAGGTGATTGACAACCAGTACAAAGTATGGACAACCATAAAGGCTTCCAATCTCAGTAAAAAAGACAGTACTTGGATAAAACGGGCTTCTTGAATTACAGTCCAAGGTGTTAAGAATCATGGCGAAAACTTTTTGAGATTCTAGATCAATTTCATCAGTACATATGCATTACAATCTCAATTAATCTGTCTATCTGCAGCAGCGAACAAGTTTAATTAACGAGTACTGATGAATACACCCCAGGGCAAACGATGATTCCCATTTGCTTCTTGAGGAATATCACCAGATACAAAATGGAAGTCCTCGTTCAAATGAATAAAGCTCTATAAACATCCAGCATCTCAGGTACCCACATCACCCTACCGTTTGATCTGGCATAAGGGAAGAAGAATGGAAAAGCCAAAAAAAAAAAAGGAGCAAGAGTTCAGGAAAGCCTTGTGCAACTGTCAGGACTCAGTTAGCGCAGGGATATAAACAAAGAAAGATCACCATCATGGCTACTGCTTGACTTTCAGTGAGGACTCGATCTGCTGTATTAGTTGGTCTGCTGTAAGTGCACCCTCCTGGAAATTTAGAAAGAGATTGTTCATACACAAAAATAGTTCTGAGTTAGTGCTCTTTAAATTCTTCACCACATGAAATCTTAAATATCTAAAACATAACTTTATATGCAAACACTGATTCTGAGATCCATCACATCCAACGAACTTTGTAACTTACCGTACTCTTACCAATTCTACCAAAAACAGGGCACTCCATTAGAGTAAGCAAAGGGGAAGGGGAACCTAGGAACTTAACCTCTTAGCCCTTGGCGGGGATCTTAGTTTCCTTAGGCAGTGCATCAGCTTAAGAAGTCACTGACGTTCGAGAGATGTGGTCTACTACTATTATTTGTTAGTAGAAAGCCAATATTTAGACTAAAACCCATTTATAACTCCGTGTCGGGATGCATCTTTTCTCATTAAGAAACAGCACAGAAGTAAGAAACACTACAGAAAAGATGCAGTCAACTTACAAAACGATCATGGGGTTCTCCATCCTTGAATATGATAAAAGTAGGGAGTGCCTGAATTCTATACTTATCTGCGATGCTCGGATACTTCTCAGTATCAATCTTCACCACCTGGATCTTATCTTTCATTCTTGTACTAACCTCATTCAGAACAGGAACCATGAATTGGCATGGACCACACCTGCAAATCCATATCTCTGCTTAATTCCTACTATAGCTTTGCGCAAATGAAATTGTTTTGATGGGTAGCTTGTCATTGTATCGGTAGACTCAAGAAATTTATGCATCAAGCAGATTTAGTTACTACTATCACAGTAAAAGGTAAAAAAATCCCCTTGGTTTATAGATGCTTCCAAGAATATTCCCATTTTTGAAGTAATGACCCGTTAGAGTGCCAATCACTAGATTGATAAAGTGATTAAATTGGTCAAATGCAACGCCAAATACCTCTCGATCTGCACGCAAGTCTCAGCATTAGATGCTTTGATGTCTCATAGGAACTGATCTCCAGTTAAAATTTTGCGAATCACAAAAAGGTACATAAAAGAATGGAAGAGTAACACACCAAAAGAACTTACCAGGTTGCATAGAAATCAACCAACACTGGTTTGTCAGCGGTTTTCAGTAAATCGTCAAAGGATGAAAATGTTTGCTTCTTTGCCTTCACCTAATTACGAATATATTCAGCTACCACCAATAGAAACCAAAATATTCTGTCTTGAAGACTGACAAAACATAAGATGATAACATGAAAAGGGGAAGGACTCCTCCTGCAGTCAAGCAGAAGCACACTCGTACAGCAGAAAACATAAAGGAGGTAAGCTTTTACAACTGTGCCGTGAATATTACTACTGAATGAAGAACTGACACCAGCATCAAAGCAAGTTACAAGGAAATCATCAAAGAGAGGTTCTGTACAAGCATGATAACAGGTAAAGCAACTTATTATGAGGCCAATAGCTGAAAACTCAATTTGCTTTCAAAGGCTTCTCCAAAAAAATGCCTTCAATAGAAAGGTCAATTTTCTTTCTTTTACTTATGAGATGCTCCAAAATCAACAATCATAACATGAAGTAAGCAGTTCCAGAAGTCTCAACATGAAATGCTCTAAGCACTCAACATCTCTGCCTCCTCCTCTCCCCCCCCCCCCCCCCCAACAAAAAAAAGGGCTTGTTCTCTCTATACCCCCCGCCCTCTCTGTCCAATCTATTTTGATGGTTCTTTATCTTATTGTATTTATTAACCTAATTAAAACCACAACCCACATCTGTTGTCACTTAAATCAGGCAAAGTAAAGGTATCATCAATAAGCTAGATTCATCCCGGACAATGCCAATAATTAGTTATTTCATCAAGCAGTAAGCATATTGGAAAAATAATGCTTACTGTGAGCATGCCTCAAGGCATGGCTATCAATACAAAAGTTTGTGGCAAGCCCTAAGTGAAATATGAGCCTAAAGTCCCAAATCTTTGTGAATAAGGAAAACCCAAGCAAAAAGAGACAAGCTTTTAAGCACCGAGACATTCTCCAAGAGTCCAAATCTCAGCTTTTCACCTGGCTTTAGAGATTGCTACAAGACCAGATTTTCATACTATGGTCATTCATTCGTATCTTGTTTGTCTCTTCACACTTTTGTTTTCCAAGCTTTCCCATTAGAAAAATGTGTCAGCCACTTGAAAATCTGACCCTAAATAAATAAATGAATTTGAGCCTCCTTATTCTCCCATGTGGATTTGCTAAAATGCCCAGCAACTGATTCATTAGCAGCATACCACAGTAGCCTTTTCACTTGGTTTCTCCATGACTAGCTTATTCCATAGGCTAGAATTGCTTCCTCTGCAGGTAAAATCCATCTGCATGAAGTTGATTCGTTTTGGTCTCTAAAATACATATTATGATGATTTCACCACTCATCTTCCGGGAAGTTCACTACAACTCATACACCTCCACTTGCTGCAACTTGTTTGCAAGTTAATTGCCCCTAATGTGAATGCAGTAAGCACTGCTATATGTGAGAATAACTCTGATCACCTAAGCTAAAAATCTTAAATACTCTTATTCTGTAGCAGTTCATATAAATTCCCTTCTGGAACTAAACCGATCAACTCATCCCGATCGACCAATCAGTCCACTTAACCACCAAATGAGGCCAGTTATCAAGATTAAACATAACACATACCGTTTCACAACTACAACATCATCTAATCTCTCTCCCCATGAATTTCGTTATTTGTAGCTACTCATTCAATTTTGTACTTTACTTCCACAACAACTATATCTTTATTCCCATACATCAAAGACAATCCCATCCTTTCTATATAGCAGCATTAACACAATCTGTGTGTATAGCTGCATTCTGACTAACAGAATCGTCCCAATAGTCAAACTGTTTTGCACTCTCTCGAATACATACAAACATAAAACATAAACCCAAACTAAATCGCGACGATAATAAAATTTTAATAAATTCTCAAACTTTACAACAAATTCCAACAGAAAAATAATTCAGAAGACAGAAATACATAGATAATTACATAAGATAACGAAACGAGAAAATCCCCAATCAAAACTCCAGATTTGCCAACCAATTCCAAAGTGTGAAGTTACGGTTTCCATGGAGATTCAGCAGGTAATTCATCACTAAAGCTACCTAAACATCCTAAAATTTAAGTCTTGAAGAGAATTACGATAAATAGCACCAATCTTGATGAAGCAGAAATCCGTAGCAAAACCAGAAAACAAGCACCAAATGTGAAAAAAACAAAAATTCAAATAACAAGAACAGTAAACCCAGAAAAGAAGAACATTCCAAAAGTAAAGCATTCATTTCTTCATTTCTTCGAATGCCAATAGGGTTGGGAAAGTTATACCACATGTAAAGTTCGGGAGGGCTGCCCGGACTGAACAGCTCGGTTTCCAACATGAAAACGGCGTAGTTCTCTAGGGAATTGCAGAGAAGACAAGCTAGAAAGCTTTGCTGCTGAATTTGAAGACGCAGCAAATGGAGGCTCTGGATTCAAAGAGCAAACTTTTGCTGCTGATGATAAAGAAATAGCCATTTTTTCAGGACCAAGTAGATAAACAGTTAAAACCGTGCCCAGAACTTTGGAAATCCAAGATGAATGAATGAAAGCTTATTTTAGCTGCAGTAACAAAAAAACAGAAAAGTTGGTGTTGAAATATGCACATTTGGGATGTTTGGTTGGTGGGATTGATGGGTTTTGAGCCGTTGATATGGTGGAAATATCAGGGCACATATCTCCTATTCCGGAACTCGCGAAGGAAATATCCTGACCAAGGCGTTTTTTTACACGCCTTCATGCTATGGCTCATGAAAGCGCCATAAACTCGATTGAATCAATTCCTTCTAAGCCTCTATTTAAGCTTAGGGCGCGTTTAATAAAAATAAAATATGAAATATAAAGCCTGAATTCATTAAGTTTTTGAATTGTTAACTATTAAATTTAATACATTTGAGTGCATATCATATTCAGTGATAAGTGAATAGTTTATCACTTAATTTTAGGAGCAAATTTTGTCTAAAAAATTGAGTGTCACTTAATTAATTCAAAGTTCAATATTTGATTATCAAACGCGTCTAAACATATTAAGATTGGAATCTATTAAATTCAAGTGCTGAATGAATTTATTAAACAGGACCTTAAACTTTGCTATACGCTGTCACGAGTTCTTTAGTGTGATTGACCAAATTTGATAAAAATTGTACAAGACTCCAAAGGTGCACAAACAAGACTCCAAAGGTGCACAGGATTATGCCTCATGAATCATGTGTGAAAATTATCTATCCAATTTAGTTACGCCAAAAAAAGAAAATATATATATAAAATGACTGACTCTTTGTCATGACAATCTATGATTCATTTACACTTTAAAATCATCCAAACTACCATCCACCCACTGAAGATTAGAGTCTTTGATATATAATCTTCAGGAAACAGAACTCGTGCTTGGGAATGATCCACAAACAAGCAACCTGTCTTGAATTTGACAGCTTTTTGCTTCATAACTAACCGAGGAATGACATGACATGTTATTGGATGCATTTGCTCAAACGGTATCCCTGAAAGATGGTGAAATGATTGCTAGTGCCTCCTTTCTTTCTGCCTTAACACAGATTTGTAATGCACTTCAATTGATACGAGGACAAAACATCAAGTGATGTCTTCAGCAAATATGATATCAAATATCCCTTGTACTGCAGCAAGAAAGGCCAGAATTCAGTTTTTGATGTACAGTATTTGACATTGTAAAGGACAGATATTAAAAATTCTGAAACGTTCTAAAAAAGTTGAGTTCTACAATATTGTGATGCGTATGGAGGATTTAGCAAGGGCTTCCTAATTCTATCACAAGCAGATAGTAGCATGGCAATTAATTCTGTTCATCAAACTCTTAACTACCTACCCTCCTCTCTAGGGATGTTAGGTTGGTCAACGAGCAGTTGCTGAAGGGCGTTTAGATCGTCACTAGCACTGCAATTAGAATTCAGCCGTGGCATAGTCACAATTAGAATACTAAGATGTTTCAATGGCATCAGAGGCAATTACAGTATACAACTAATTCACCAAAAGGAAAGAGAGGCAAAGGCGGAAAAGGAGAAGAAAAAGACAAATATACCACACCAAAAGAACAGCAAAAAATGTTACGCACAGCCATCCTGTGCAATGAACAAAGAAATAAGAGCTGCACTATTTAATAAAACTGGACACTCTCAACTTCTAATCTAATTTGGAGCATTAAACTTTAGTATTTTTAAGGGTGGAGCTGTTAAACTTTTCTGCTTCACCCTTCTACTTACTGTCCAAACATCAATTTGAGAAGATTTGTAGTGTATCATGGTAACCAAAATCAAACACTAACTAAATCATAGGATCAAGTCCAAATATTTATATAATGAATGTACTCTTCTCATGCATCATAGTTGTGAAAGGTGATTCCAGGCTGCCATCATTTATTACCTTCAAAGTTAATAAAAAGCCTTAAACCAACATAAACTGCAAAATTTTCCTCTCTTTTTTTTTTTTTAAAAGACCTTGAACATGACTTATTTCTAATAATTGACATATCTGAAAGCCCTAAATATGCTAAATATTCTAGGCCAACTTCTCCAGCCTTAACCTCCAATTATAATCTGACAGACTTTTCAAAAACAAGTCATGCCTATTTCTCAAGTTTAGATAATTTGCACAAGATACAATACACATTAACTTGGGTGATTGCCTATGCAAAAGAATTAATCACACAGAGGTGGCTGGGGTGGGGGAAGCACCCACATCTATCAAGAGATACCTTGGCGTCAAGGAAACCTTTGCAAGTGCCGATATCACAGATGACTTAAGAAGGTACCTGAAATAAAATGTTCAACTGGTTACTAGGAAATGGAGTGTGAAAAATGAAGGGAGAAAAGGACAACATGGATTCCAGGAAGCTGGTCACTAATATCCTGCACATCTTAAAGGTAACTCCGAGAAATTGCAATGCGAATGTTTTCAAAAGTCAAGGAAAATATTAGTGTAACCAAGATCAGATAATCCCAGGAAAGTGCAAACAAAATGATTCAGAGTGAAGAAGAAACGGCAGTGATTTATTTTCGTATTATGTGAAGTTTAACACTCATTTGAAACTATCATGGGTGACCTTATTTTGAATCTTAGATAGTAAAGAAGACCGAATGAAAAAACTGGGACCATAAAAAATAAATTAGCTACAAAATCATATCAAATGATCAGATTAACCCAACTTTTGACATCTCTCGGATTGCATTTCTGAGAAAACTTTAAATAAAGAAACAAATAACAAGTTCTGTTTCCAGAGCCCAATCTTGATGAGTTAACATCAACATACAGGAAAGTTAGCTATGAGAATTATGTAAAGTTCCTCTAACGCATACTCTGAATGGTGCATCTCGCTAAGAAGCCTAAGGCCCTCCAGGCAATCTGCAAGACTTGGTTTGATACCAACTCTTTGCTGCAGTTGCTTTGCTGTTGCAACAGTAGAACCTCCTTTAACTAGCTGCCTACCATCACGAACAACTTTCTCAAGGGATGAAGAAACACCACGAAAATCTTCCCTACATCAATGGCGGATGGATTAAGCAAAAAGATAAAAGAAGAAGAACAGAAAGTCAGCTTCCTATATGGGAGTGCTGTGACATGCAAATCAAGACTAATACAGGGGACAATTGAAGGAGGGAAAAAAAAAAAACAAAAACACACACACACACATACATAGGATAACCAATTGCTGAAACACGAGTTCTTGAGGTCGAGAATGAGTTCTTGAGGTCGACAGCACCCATGAAATGAAATTTAAGGGAACAAAGAAATCTGGAGGCCAATCAAATGGCCTTTTAACGTTTGGTTAGTAGAAGTCTCGACATACAGGTGAACACAATCTTTAAGAAACAAGATAAAATATCTATTCCTAACTTGGCTGAATCAGAAATAAACATAAACACTGGAAGAGACCCCTTGCCAAAATTTGTTATCCGACTTTTGTTACAAAATGAATTGAGGTCAATAAAAGGAGCTTTTAAGGAGAAAGAAAATGTAAAACAAGAAACCATACAAGGTCATATTCATGGAGAGCATAATAGTTTGCAGTGACTCCAATTGCTTCGCCAAGACAGCATCTTGAATGCCCTGAACACATTCTAATGCGCCATACTTTTTTGGATCTTGAAGTAACTAAATGAGAAAGCTAACCCAACATCAATATCATCAGGAATCAAACAATAAGAAGAAAGACACACATGCAAACATGGCTAGACAGGATGCTGCGGGAAAACCTGCAATCTCTGGATGATGGCAGAAGCACTGGTGAACTGTGAAATTAACCGAGATTGAAGCTCTTCCCATCGACCCATCTCTTCTTTCACCTTCCTAAACTTCTGCTGATACTTTTTCACCATTGACTCCATCTACCTCAATCCACACCTCTGCCAATCCTACATCAAACATGTGGTAGCAGAATTATGTGCCATGATGAATTTTATCACTATCTAGCGAATCATATCATCGCAATCAAACTGACATTAATCTATAAGCAAATGCTTCGTCTCCCGGGATGGTACTACAACATATATGTATTGACCCTTCAGCAGCATCTGTATGCAGTTGATACACATTCAGGCATTCAATCAAACATGTGGTGTGCAACCATTTGCGTGACAGAAAATTAATCCACAAAAGCCAAAAAAAAAAAAGCTAAAATTTTGAAATAAATTACTGGTTTTTTTCCTTCTCCTTTAAGCAAAGCTTATGAAGAACCGTGAAGCTGGTTGTTCTCCCAATGCTACGCCGCTTCGTCAAAGAGGAAAGAACGGCTTGTACTCGTATTCAGGCAATGGGGCATCAGACCAGAGAGTCTAGTATATGGGAGCGGAGGAGAAGAGAGCCCAGTACACTGGTAATTAGGAAATTTCAGTAGGTCGAGAAAATTTGCCATTTTTATTGTGGTGAACATTTTAGAGTTACTTCAGTTAATAGAGCATTTGATGTTCTTATTGGCTGAATGGTAAAAGAAGTTTACCTTATAATAACTAAGGTCAAACTCGAACATACCTATTATTCAGGATTGAGTTCAATGTGAACTCAAAATTGCATACACGACGAGCTCAAACAAGAAAATACCTATTTGAGATCGTATTCAATTTGAACTCGAGTGTGGTAATACTCAAAAGCTTGACCCGATCACATTACTACTTTAGTTAATGAAGCTGCCCTAGAAAATGGTATGACTGCAATGCTCACTAGAGTGTTCGGGCATAGGGCAAAAAAAAATCTTAAATGCACCAAAAAAAAATAAGAAAACAAAATAAACAAACTTTGAAAGGCAGATAGACTTGATTCAAAATCAAAATGGTCTTTAATATAAATGAAATTTCCAGTGTTACATTACAGCCATGAAAACTGGAACTCGTTAGCCACTTCAGTTCGGTAAATGACATTACCTGTGGAACTTTGCACATACATTGGAACATCACTGGTGAAGGTCCATATTACAACATCCAGCCTATAAGCGTGGCCTCAGACCTAACAGTCTATCTTGATAGTGTACAACACAATCTTTGTTTGGTTTCTATCTACTCGTGTTTTCACACAACAAAATGCAGTTAAGAGCACTGCAATCGACTCGTAAATTTCGTGGCAGCGTATAACTTAAGTAGGGAATCACCCGTCAGATGTCAACATGAAGGCAAGAAGCACCACGGTTATCGTGCAGAAAATGGTTGCACCAGAAAACAGCCACATAGCCCTGCTCTTAGGGTTCTGCCTTACTTGACTGCTTAACTCGACCTCTTTCAGAATTTCTCTCACTCTATCAATGTCAGAGTCCTTGGCAGCTTGCGTTAGTCTACCCCGAACTCTTTCCAATTTGATTAGCCTTCTTTTCTTGGATGCATCTTTAGTTGGCCAAAAAATGCCTATCAACTTCCACAAAAAGATCCCCATGTAGATGGCTAACACACAATCAACACTGTAATGATTGCGCTCGCGAATTTCCCTTTGTGCACTATGCAGTACAAGCAGCCAAATCAAAATGGAGCTTAAGCCACCATATGCCTCCTGCACTTGCATATGAATAGCAGATTAACTAACTTATCTGGTCCCTAGTAGCTGAAGCTGCTAAATGAAGGGTAAACATAAAATCCATTATGCACACCTACCGTCCATGCCATAGCAGTCAGTACAGATACAAGCATGTGGCCACTGTATATGAGGTCATTGCAGCCACCCCCTGCTTTCTTTAGTAGATGGTACCATGGAGAAGAACCATCAGGAGGTGTAGGTCGTAGAAAATCAATGAGGAAGCTCATCAAACCCCAGTTAGGATGGAATTCAACATGATAGTCTCCAGGATCAGCTGCAAAACATGATCGAACAACATTTCTCAATTAATTCCCTTAAAAAAGTAAAACATCAAAGAATTTTTCGGGGAAAAAAAGGTCCAACATCATAAGTGGCTTAAGAACATGCCAGACTGGGAATAATAATGAAACATGCACACACCAATGGGCATTATGTTCCCATATTTGCCATTTGATTAACCCTTCATTGGGAAGTTCATTGAGCAAAGGTGCCCTTAGGACAAGATGCTAAACCCTGAATTAAAAGCAGGTAAAAAACAAACATTCACATCTAAAACACATAATTTGACATGGCCCCTCTTCCCACCGATCAAGCCTTCCACAAAATATTAATTAGACAAAGCTTTAAGGTGTTATGAAGGAGAAAAATCAGGAGGGGCAGATGAAAGTAGGAAAAACTAAAGAATGAGCCAGGTATAAGATATATCAAATGTGGCAAATACCATAGGCAATATCATAATGAATAACTTGGCGAATAGCATATGAATCAGTTGCATATGGAACATAATACTTTTGAGCCCAACGATGAGCGTGTGCAGGTATATGGTAGCGAGTTGATGCACACCAGGGCCGAGGTGATGGTAAAATTGTAGAAACAAAAGCCAAGGCTCGAAGAAGTCGCCCAACACCCATGGTAAACATGTATCTTGCACCCAACCCAAGACCAGGAGCTTCAATGGAGTTGAATAATACAGAGAAACCAAGCATGACAAACAACATCAGGTAATGGTGCAGTCCAATTATACGAGCTCTCAACAAATTGACCATTGTTTGGGGCAGCTTCTCGTTCAATGCAAGCAGAAACCACTGGCCAACATCAGGTAGAGCCTGAGCAGAACTGTTCAACATTACAAATATAATTATATAGGATAAACTAGCCACAGCAAGTAATCAAATTCAGGGTGTTGCACAGCCGCTGCATATTAAACTGTGTTTTGCAAGTAAATGTTTTTGTGGAACATGACGATTCAATACCTATCTGTTCCAAATATTTTCCTAGGAATGCTAGAAGTATACAACTCCTTCAACAGTTTCAATTTAGCAAGCTGTACTCAATCAGTTTCCTGTTCCTCCTTCTTATATTTGGAAAGTAAGACTCATTAGTGGGAAAAGTAGCACAATTTAATAATTGCAATCCAACAACACAAGCAGCACCTCAAGTTGTACAACCGCTCGTGCAGAAACTGATTCTAAAAGTCAGGAAAGAAAATGCAGTCCAGCAACCTTACTCGAGAAAAAACAGGTCACTGACAATCCATCCTCAATTCCCCTGATTCCTCCTCATTAATAAAAGTTAAGTTGTTTCGCATATCAGATACCAAAACAAGAAGAAAGAAAATTTAGGAGCTTCTATCAATTGCTTTCTGGTTACTGAATCTTATTTGATCAATATCTAATAGCAGCAAAAGGTATTATCATCTGTATTGACATTGTTTTCAGCTCCCTTGGCTGCCATTTTTTCCTTAGTAACCCTAAATAGATTTCCTAAAGCTTTTAGTATTATGATACACAAACTGAAATTTAACAGAACGAAGGAATTCAACTTAACTCCAATCCTTTCAAGTAGTCAGATATTTATTAATAACCAAAACTGGGTCTCTTAATCATATCCCTTTTACATACTGTGTTTAGCTTAGTTCATGTTAATGCTTCAACTATTACAAGCTTATTTATTGTTTGCATGCTTTTGCCAGCTCCAAGCTAAACCCCTGGATAGCAAAAAGATCCCAAGTAGTTCTAGCTTGTCATAAAGAAAACATAATTAGAATAAAATTAACCTCGTTCGTGGTTAATGATCAAAATTTGGACGGAGAAAAAAAATGCCAACAATAACAAGTGTAGCTTCAGCTTTATCAACAAAGTAACATACATATGAACAACCAGGCATTGCTTGTCTATATGCACGAGTACTAAAAGCAAAATCTAGAGCCACCGTTCGAAACCACCAGCATTTCCTCAATTAGATGACAGATCAAACTGGAATCTTTTACATAACGGAAAAATAAACTTAACCGCTATACTAAACAAGCCAGGTTGCACTTCAAGACAAGCAGATCTTAGCTTAAAATAACGAGATCCAACACTAACAAATGCAGATCAGATTTTCTTCGTTTCTAATTATGGTAATTTGTAGCAAGCTAATCCGTTACAAAACCAAAACTACAGTTAAAGCAAAACCCACATCACAAATCTTTACTACTAGTCAACCAGAAAAGTTCAAACTTCAAAGCAAACCACCAAAACCAAAAACCCAGCAAATTTTACCCCAAAAACAGCAAAAAAGAAAACTTTCTGAAGTTCAGTACATACTTGTGCCAATCACTGCCAAGAACAACCGTGACAAACCGAACAGAGATGGCTTCCAAAAGCAGAGCAGAGAGCATAAAAATCAAAGAAAATATGAAGGGCAGAGCAGAACGAAGCTCAGATGACCAGTGCTTATAAAAAGGAACACGAATAACAGCTGCAATGGCTAAAAATGTCCACAAAACTGGCTGCAATCGCTCGTGCCACCGCGGAGACAGGTGGCGGAAATAGTCCACGCCCACATAAGCTATTGCGGCAAGGCCTAAACCGCTTCCCCGGTTCTTGAATACCACGGACCGCCAAGCCGGCAACAGCCCCATGTCGAGTGTAAGCACAGTTGAGACAGAGACTCCGATGCCTTCGGTGACAGTAAAAGAATCACGAAACAAGTTTGGTGAAATTTGACTTTTGTCAAGATCAAGTTTAACGAGTATTATTATGACTTTTGCTTCAAATTACTTTTTTGGTAGTTTTTACCATTGTTCTTTTTCCTTTTTTTTATCTTTTCCCTTTGAAAAAATTCTCCACAAGGCATCTTAAGATGAAGTTTTACTTGTTTACAAATATAACGTGCTAGTGTATATATATACTATATATAAAACTTGAGAAAAGAGGTTTGTTATTAACATTGGTTTAATATTTATTATCATTTTATGAATTTATCCTTATAAAAACTCTTTTTACTTTGATTATAGATAACTACCCATCTATTTTTACTTTTAACTATTTAAGTATATGTTTTCAACACAACTATTCCTAAATATTATAACTACTAATATAAAATTATTTTATGAAAAATATTTAAAAGATTAAAGTTCAGCAATAAAAATTTTATTTAAAATATATGACCAATGTATTTTTTGATTGCACACACATTGGATGTGCATTGAACACTAGTTTAATTAATGATAATCATGTTACCAACTAGTTTAGTTAGTCTTATCATGTTACTAACACAAGCTAGTTTAGTCAATGATAATCATGTTGTGAACTAGTTTTTTTGATGATAATCATTTTATTAACTAGTTTTAACATTTATTACCTTAAAAAAGGAAAAAAAAAAAAGGTGTTGTTTTGGGGGGGGGAGGGGAGGGGGGGGCTGACGGTGTCTAAGAAAATGCCCAACAAATTGGCCTAATTGAATCCCAACTAAGAAAATACAAATTAATTAGAAGCCAGAAAATATTAGTTTTAAAAGAGATGATTCAAACTGGGTATGGCATCCTTAGTTTAATTAATGGTTAAACATTAGGCACTAGTTTTGCTGTTAATGTTCTTGCCGTGAGTTAAAAGTACTACAAACTCCTAAATTCACATCTTCCAATTATCAACAACTATTGTATTACTATCACA